CTGCAAGGTTTCGCAGAAGAAGACGAAGGCCCAGGCCGCGTCATAACCACAGCCAGAGAAGGAGCGGGAACAGACCAAGGCCCAGAAGGAGAGGGAGATCAAGCTGAGTGCCATCAAGTGGGACGTCGGCACGAGCGCTGGACTACCCGATGGACAGCACGAACAGCACAAGCATGTGACGAATGGTTTTCGACGAGGCTGGGAGATCACACGCGAGTTGCATACAGCGCAGCAGATGCCGCGCAGTTAGCGAAGGTGCGCCGGCAAATATTGATTTCCATCCTGTTCCAGTACCGTTTATTGTCCGCAATGAAGCTATTGATCCCAGCGGAGGTTTTCTTCGCGACGCGGCGTGCGGCGCTGCTCTCTCGAGCGACGCTGCGACGCTTGATTTAGTTTTGATGATATGCTATCTGCTGCGAAGATTTCGAGTGATCAACGTGAGAGTTCGCACGGGCTCTCATTCCCTTTTTCGCCAGTTTGAATTGCACTCAGTACAATATATGTCTTGAGGGTCCTGACAGAATGACGTTGGATGCTTTTCCTTCCAGAGGCCCCCATTGAGGCCCAGCGGCAGCACGTGGCAAGCAGCGGGGATTTATGGCACATCTGACCACTGCCGTTTGAGCTCGAGAGGCCTTTCGACTGACCGAAAAGGTTACCATCACCACCACCCGCGCGCAGAGCATAGTGGAGGAAGGTGTTCGAGGAGAAGTTGGCAGAGAATCGAACTTCGATTCGATGGGGGTTCGGAGATTTCGAGTGCTTCGACGAGTTCACACCCGGCGCTGTCCCCTGCCGCCGCCGGCAGCTCTGAGTGGCCCCGTTTCCTCTCCTTCCGTCGCGCCGGGGCTCCTCCTCCTCCTCCCGCGCGCTGCGGTTTTAATTAGCACACAACGCGCCCCCTGTTGCCACTCCGCGGGGTCAGTCGACTTCTGCCCAGCCGCCGATTCAAAAAGGTGTCTGGAGGACGTTCGCCTCTTGGGAAGTGCCTCGGAAGACTCGGAAAGCACCTGGAATCATCTTGGAGCAGTCTCGGAACCCCTTGGAGAGATGTCGGAAGTTGCCTTGCTTCATCGCCATGGCACCCTCGGGGGTGGGCGCTTTCACGCGCAGAGGCAGGGGGCTCCCACGAGGCTTCGACACCCAGCGCGCGCCAGGGGAAGCGGCAAAGGACGGGCGGGGGGAGGCGGAGGCGGGTTCGGGAGGGGGGTCGAAGGAGAAGGCAGTCAACGAACGAACGAACCACCAGTGCGGACAGGTGTCCAGGCCTCGCGAGACCAGGAGGGGCGAGGCCTTTGGCCTCGCGATGCTGCAGCGTGCATTGAGGCACGCACGCGAGACATGTCAGAAGTTGCGCAAGCCAGCGAGGACAAAGAAGAGGAGCCCTTGTAACTAGTCGACGTCGTGGCGTGTTGGAGGAGGGAGGAGAGGAGGGAGGAGATGCGACAGAGGGGAGGCCCCCCTGTGAGCCCCGTGCGAATTCGGATCGGCCAGGGGCCTGGTCCAGGTGGCCCCAGTGACTCCTGGCTTGGCCGCGCCCGCGCCTCAAGAAACGGGGGTCAGTGCAAACGGGGGCCACTCAGAGCGCCGGGTCTTGCAGGATCCCGCAGAGCCAGGTCCGCATGGACCGCGGCTTTGGCGCAGGATCTTGCAGGAACCTGCAAGGCCTGACTGACCCGGGTCCGGACTGACCCGGGTCGGTAGGTCCCCGAAGCGCGATGTCAGCGGCTTTCCGCGGCCTCGGAGTTCTTCCGCGGCGCTGGCCGGTCCAGATCTCAGAGGTCCTCCGCGGCTTCCCGCCGATCCGTGCCCAGACACTCTCGCGTCGTAAGACAAGCACGACGGGAGGTTTCTTGGCCATGTCCGGCCCTCGGGGGCCTTCCCCAGGACCGTGAAGAAACGACTCCGAAAGACCGCCCCCGGCGAAGTTGTAGGGACTGCAGGGGGACCCCGCATTGAAACAATCAGGGCATCGCATGTCAGGCGATCGCAAATATGGATCACGGGGGCGTGGATTAGCGACGGGTCCCGTTTCCATCGGAAATCGCAGCTTTCCGCCGCCGAACGAGGCGGCACCGGCCGCATTTTGGGGAGGGCACCTGCCCCGATCCATGGATTTGGCGACCGCGCGCCAAATCCATGGATCTTTAATCCATGCTTCCGCGCCCCCGAATGTCTCGGGGCGGCATAGAGGGGGTGATGACTAGGGGGGGGGGAGATCATGGCGGAGGCCATGACATCTCCCCAGATTTCATGGCCCCTGTCCCCCTGGGCCGCGCACGTGTCGCCGGCCATGATTTGCGTCCCCCCCTCTTGGACACCCCCCTCTTGGCTTGGCCGCCCCCGAGTGTCTGGGTGCCCCTTCCGAGATGTCGCCCCCAAGCTGGCTTGGAGGGAGCTCCCTGCGGCGACGCGCGGGAGTGGTTCCTCGCTGGGGTGGCCTCTCTGGTGCAGGCCCCCAGGGGCCCGCCAGCACTGGCCGGCGCGCCCGGACTGCTTGCGTCCGTCCTTCCCCGCGGCCCTTTGAACCCGCGCACCAAGGGTTCAGTTGGGCATGTCCCTCTCCACAGGAGGAATATTCAAGAATAGTCAAAAAATTGTCTGGGCACGCTTTTTTATGACTTGTACTACTCTGGGGCACTTTTTGACTATTTTTTCTTTTCCTCGTTCTTGCCCAGGGGTCACTCGTTCTTGCCCAGGGGAACGAACAATGACAGAAACATAAAAGCTCGGAGGTCCGTGCAGGTTCCTCGGATCGGCGCTGGGGTCCCCCGGCGGCGCCTCCGGCGCCGCCCCTGGCGCGCTCCGCGCGCCAAGGAGGGGATCAACACCGATCCGAGAAATCCGCGCGGACCTCAGAGTTTTTATGTATATTTCATTGTTTGTTCCCCTACTGCCCAGGTCGCTCTTGTCAGCGGCGAGCTTGGGAGAGAAGTGAGAGGGGGCGGGCCTCTTTAGAAGGCTCGGAGGTCCCCTGGCCAGCTGAGAAGTTTCCTAAGCCTCCCCGAATGATGCCAGCTTGCGATTAACAAATCCGTGGGGTCGCGTGTTTAAAACATATATTCCCTGCTCGGCCGAATCGCGGGCTGGCGCCCCCCAGATTGAAAATCAACGACGGCGGCGCTGGTGATTAGCGCCGAGGCCCAGCTGCCAGCGGGAAGGAGACAGACAGCACAGACTGGGGGAGGGAAGGGGGGCGGGAGGCAAAAGCGGCAGAAGCAGGGACCGTGAGCCAGGGCGACACCTGTTCGAAATGAAGAAGAACTGTTGTCGGCGCTCGCCCCCGCACTTTCCGTGCTTTGTTCTGCCGAACCGATGCGCTTCTTGCGCCCTGACCGCAGCCAGGGGGGCGCCAGCTGCCTCGCCGGCCCGCGAGCAAGGCGGGCTGGACGAAAGGGGGGCGAGGCCAAGAGGGGATGTGCCCAGCAGCTCACATTGCTGATTTTCCGAGCGCCCCCTGGCGCCGAAAGCGGCCATGCATCGAGGACTGCGCGCAGCAGGTTTCGCAACCCCCCTTTCTTTCCCCAGCCTTTCGTCCGACCCGAACAAAACGGGCAGTCCTCCTCCCCCCCTCTATCGTGGTCTTTGTAGTCGTCGTCGACGACGACGACGACGAAGACGCGGACGGGGACGACGACGATGACGAGGAGGACGAGGGCGAGGACGAGGACGAGCACGAGGACGACAGAGGCCAGACGGTGGACGGCGACGGCGGGCGACGACCGACGACGACAACGCACTGCGGATGCCCTAGGGGGGGGCTGCTGCGCAGGCTCGCTGTCGGCGACGACGACGACGACAGCGGCGGCGACGACGACGACGACGACGACGACGGCGACGACGACGACGACAGCGGCGGCGGCGGCGACGACGACGACGACGAAAGCGACGACGACGACGACGACGACGAACACGACGACGACGACGACGACGACGACGACGACGACGACGACTACTCATTGCGGATGCCCTAGGGGGGGGCTACGGGGGGTTGTTGCGCAGGCCCGCTGTACTGGACGACGACGACGACGACGAAGACGATAACGACAACGACAGCGACAGCGACGACGACGACGACGACGACGACGACGACGACGACGACGACCGACGACGAGGACGACAATGAGGAAGAAGAAGACGACGACGACGACGACGACGGCGGCGGTGACGACGCATGAGAGGGGGAAAAAATTCGCGTCGGATGTGCGCGACCCCTATCACAACTTGTGTACGAAAGGCAATCGTTTTGAGGCTGTCATGCAGGGGGGTACACGATCCCGTCGGCGGCGCCAGCGACGACCCCCAAACGCGCGTGATTTAAAGAAATATGCCCCGGGGGGTGGGGGTTGGGGGGTCTGGTCATTCCTCAATCACAAGCTGACATTACACGAAAAAACACGTCGCAGAAGACCCGAAGGCTGCTGATAAGCCCCGCCGCCTTCTGAGAAGGCATCCTTATTCTCACTTCCCCCCCTCGTTCGCCGCCGACTCCTGCGCGCAGCCGACAACTGGCCGCGACCTGACCAATCTTGGGCCCCAGAGTTGCCAGGCCAGGGTTCGTGATTTTTTTTTGCCGGCCCTCCCCTTCTTCGTTCTGGGCGCGCGCGGCTTGCCTCCGAGCTTTGAGAAAATGGCGCGGGCGGAAAGGCGATGACGGTGATGATGACGTTGTTGTTGATGATGATGCTGATGATGATGACGACGATCCTGATGATCACCCTCATAATCAATATCATCAGAATCGGCATCATCATCAGCGAGCGGGCGGGCGGGCGGGCGGGCAGGGAAGGTCGGCATGGCGAAGGCGGTCCTGAGGACAACGGGTCCTGAGGTCTCTCGCATTTCCCGGGTTTTCGAAGCAGTCCACGGGCCTCGGGATTGTAAGAAAACGATTCAGGATGAAAAACTCGTCCTGGGGGAAGGCCCCAGGGTCCACGACCCGACAGGGGCAGGGCAATCAGGACGATGCGTGCGCGGCGGCTGGTGGGGGATCCGAGGCGCTCTCCAACAAGTCGAACGCGACCAACGCGACCAACACGACAAACGCGACACTGTCCAGGTCGGACGCCCAGTCGGTTCCTTGCTTCGTCTCGCGTCGCGCCGTGCGAGGCCAAGCAGATAAAGCGGGCCTTTTGGCGATTGTGGAGGAGCCAGAAGAGGAGGAGGAAGAGGAGGAGGAGGGGGAGGAGGAGGAGGAGGAGAAGGGAGGAGGAGGAGGAGGAGGAGGAGGAGGAGGAGGAGGAGGGAGGAGGAGGAGGAGGAGGAGGAGAAGGAGCAGGAGGAGGAGGATGGGGGAGGAGGAGGAGGAGTAGGAGGAGGAGGAGGAGGAGGGAGGAGGGAGGGAGGAGGAGGAGGAGGAGGAGGAGGAGGAGGAGGAGGAGGGAGGAGGAGGAGGAGGAGGAGGAGGAGGAGGAGGAGGAAGAGGAGGAGGAGGAGGAGGAGGAGGAGGGGGAGGAGGAGGAAGAGGAGAAGGAGAAGAAGGGCATCGCATCGTCGAATTCTTTCAAACTCGACGCGCAGCGTGCCAGCCCCCCCTCCTGCTCCTGCCGGTTTGCATGCCTCGTGGTGCCTCTCAGGTGGCAACGGGCGGCGAGTGGTCGAAAACTCTGGAAAAAAACGCTCGTCGTTGTCGTCGTCGTCGTCGTCGTCGTCGTCGTCGTCGTCGTCGTCGTCGTCGTCGTCGTCGTCGTCGTCGTCGTCGTCTCCTCCCTCCTCCCTCCTCCCTCCTCCCCCCTCCCCCTCTTCGCAGAAGCATTGAACGACAAGTAGTGCAAGCACTTCTTGGAAAACAAACTGGTTCTCTACAAGAACAGTACCGACCACATCGCCCAAATATAGAATCGTTCACCGCCCCCATCAACTTCTCACGGCCCCCAAAAAATCAGAAACATATCAAAGCATGCAGTTTTGAGGCCGCCTCCCCCGAATATCCAAGCATATGTCCGCAATTTCGCCTGGGCATGTTGCATTCGGAGCGCCATTTGGACGCGCAGAAAATCAAGGCATAACTAACAGTTCAGCGTGAATTAACAATGTGCAACAAGTGCTACAAGCTTGGCCTCTCAATGGAACGCTTACAGAACAAATTGCCCAACGATAAGGCAATGCTGTCGAAATCGTGAGACGGCGGGTACAGTCAACCCGTGTGATCGGCGTTGCGCCGTTGCTGATCGGCGCGGCGCCGTTGCTGATCGGCGTGGCGCCGTTGCTGGTTTCGTCCGTCTTTCAGGTTACTCAGGGAGACGATGGCTCTGACGCGTGGGCCTCGCCGCGGTTGGCGAGGGCCTTCGTCATGGTAGCCGTGCATGCCTTTCTGAGCCAGCAGGCCATTCATCCGCTGAGCTCTTGGGGAGCTCCGCTTCGGCTCCTGGCCCTGCTGCTTTCATTAAATGTTTCATTCGCTCTCGCGTCGTCCCCCGTGGAGATGGCGGCGGCCACCATGGCCGTCCTTGCCAAGGGGGCGGTCATCGTGACCTTTCAGACATCTGGATGGCTTCTGATCTTCTGCGAAGCCGTTAAGAGCCTCGCCCTGAGCATAGCGCGCTACTTGCGGTGTCGCACGGCCTTGTGGGGCATGTCGGCGCCGCCATGCTCCTGACAAAAGGCTTGCTCACCGCTGAGTTAGGAGTCGAACACGAAAATTCCCGTTTTTACTCCGGGGTTGAGGTCACGCTGCGGTCGCGCATACGCAACACCATGATGCACGGCGAGGCGGCCGGGGACGTGAGCCCCACGCTTCAGGCGTTTGCCATGGTCACGATGCTGGTGCAAAGGTACGGAACCTTTGCCAGTTTCGTTTTCTGCGGGATCGACGCGCTTCCTATGTCCATTTCGAAGAAAGGCCTGTCCTCGGAGAAGGACCTGGTGGCCTTCTTCTTTGCTGCAGTCCGCGCATCTTCTGCGCGTGGGACCATTCGCACCATCATCCTCGTCGGGTTAATGGTGCAGAACTGTGGCCTGATCCTGTTCCTACTTTCCGCATATCTGCTCTTGTCCGATAGGGGCACGCGGTTTGTCACTTCAGCCGCGAGCCAGGCACTTGCGGAATTTGGTAAAGAGACTCACCCGGTGGACGCGTCATTTCGCAAGGCGATCAGCGCGGCAGACGACGAAGATGTGATCCGCCAACGCCTTGACGACATAGCCGCAGCGCGCAACACCAAGAAGAGCGACAAGCAAGTCTACACTTCGATTCAGCGGCAGGATGCGTCAGTTAAGGCGCAAGCACCGCCAGGCTTTCTGATGGCAGCAAAGAAGGAGGAGCTCAAGACTCTGCCCCCCGGCGTCTCTGATGGCGATTTGGAGGAGATTGAGAAGGCAGATTCCCGCACCGTTTCACTCGCGGTTGCGCGGCCGACCAATTTGACAACCTTTAGCTGCGCGGAGATAGGGGCGGGGACACATCTCCCCCCAGGACACGCGTTTACGGGAAGCACCAACGCTCACTCACCGCCGGTCGCTGGGGAGACCGGCGCGATGGTGATCGAGGGCATCGAGTATACATGCAAGGTGCAGCGCCCGTGGACGGTTCTGAAGGACAAGTCGCCAGCGCCCTCGGATGGGGCCGCGTGCGATCAACGAACCCGACCAGGTCATGTCCTGGCGGCGCCACTCTCAAAGCGCCCACTACGTCTGGCCTATGTTGAGAGCGGTCGCGACAGGCTGCGACGCAACACCGCAGACGGAGGCAGCGATGGTCAAGAACGCAGCCACGGGCCTCTCGACGAAGGGAAACTCACGTTCAGCCGTCGGCGTGGAGTTATCTAACGCGAAGTTCCTCGCTGTCCACTGCGGGTCGGATGGTGCGCATGGGCATGGGGTCACCGCTGCGACAGGTGCTTCGCCGCGCGTCGTTATTGCGAAGCGTGCGCAGCAGCGCGGATCGCGGCTGCACACGCATCTGCACCCTCAGATGACGTACCCCACGCTGCAATCGCTCGGCGACTTCTCGTTCCATCCGCCGGCGTTCGCAGCCGCGGCGGAGGAAGAAGGCTCTCCGAGTTCCTGACGAACTGGCCGGACCCCTTTCGGAGGATCTGGCGAGCGCGCGGGACGCCGACTCAGAGTGGGCCAGCGGGTTCCGGGCGGGCGGAGAAGAGGGGAGCTTGGAGCAGGACAGCCGGGGCGGAGAGAGCGAGGACGAGCGCGACAAGAAGGATCACGAAGAGGACGGCGAGGACAAGCAAGCGTCGGAGCACGACGCAGAGCAAGACGCGCGGAAGCGCAGCGGCGCGCGCGCGCGAGAGGCGAGCGGAGGAGAGCAGGAGCACTACGGGAGCGGTTCGCGGGAGGACGCGCCGAGGAAGCGGCGGGCGACGCATGCGGAACCGAGGGCGGAAGCGACTCAGCCGGCGCACGGACCGCCCGGGGGCGGAGGCCAGGCGCTAGAGACACGCGGCGCACTGCGCGAGAGGCCCCCGTCGAGGCAGGAGCGCGACGAGAGCGCGGCCGACGGGGGCGGGAACGCGAAGAGGCTAAGTTCGGACGCGAAGGCACCGCCTCAGGAAGAAGACCCGCTGCAGGAGCCGCCGCCGCCAGGGCCAGGGAGAGGACTCGTCGAGACCGTCGGCGGCGGGAACGCGGGGGGGCGAAGCCCAGACGCGGCGGCCCAAGGCGACGAGCAACGCGGAGAGCGCGCGGCCGTCAGCGGCGGGAACGCGGGGAAGCGACATTCACACATGACGGAGCGCAAGAGCGGGGAGGATCTCCTTCACGAGGCCCATCCGTCACGACCAGAGAAGGACGCGAGCGCGGCCGCCGATGGCGGGGGCGCGGGGCGGCGGAGCCCAGGCGCAGCGGCGCGCGGCGACGACGCGCCCAGCCCCGCCTCGCGCCGGGATGCGCCGGCGCGCAGCCCGCAGAGCGGACGGGGATTGCAAGGGGCCAGCACGGCGCCTAAGCAGGGGCCCTCCGCGGACCCCGTCTCGGCAGAGCAACGCAGGGAAGCGGCGGCCGCCAGCAGCGGCGGGAGCGCCCGCAGAGGAGCGCCGCCGCAGGAGAGGCAGCTCTGGGGCGACCCGCCGGCCACGGGCGGAACGCAGGGCGAGGCCGCGAAGGGCCATCTGGCCAGGAAGGGCGCGAATGTCGGAATGCAAGGGAACACGCGACTCCACCCCCCAAGGCCCAGGAGAAGTTTGACGGGCGAGCTCGACAGCTCAGGGGCGCACCGCTCACCGAGCAAGCGATGCAGAGGCACGCGCAGACAGAAGTTGTCGCCTCCTACCATGAGAAAGGAAAATTCATACATGCCCCATTAGCCAGCAGCCAGGATTGGGCGCGGTTGGAGGAGCTTCCCGAGGAGAGGGGCGACACTCCTCATCTGTTGGACGCCCCGCACTCCTCATCTGTTGGACGCCCCGCCCCCGCCCGCCGCCGCCGAGGCGCCGCTGTCGGGGCAGCCGGAGGAGGCGGTCATCAGGGAGGCGGGCGAAGCCTACCAGCCCAGCGCGCCCGGGCGAGGTGGTGCGAGTTCCGGCGGCCACTCAGCGCCGAGGCACGGAGCATTCGCGATCGCGAAGGTCAAAGGATGATACTTGAATGCCCGCAACGCCATTGAACTCAAGGTCGACACCTTGGTGGACGGCTGCGAGATTGGCGGGGTTTCTGTAGTTGTGGATGAGTCGGAACTGCTTGACGAGTTGAGCACGCATGTCACGACGGCGAAGATGGCAGCTATACACCAATCAGGAGGAGGGAAGCAGGAGGTAGAAGCGGCCCTCGGAGCCACGTTAGCCGGGACGGTCGGCCTGGAGATCGCGGCCGCCCCCACCGCAGGAGGCAGCCGCGGCGGGGCGACGTGGGCGGCCCGGGCTCTGACCCAGCGAGAGCTCGCCGCGCACGCGGCGCAGCAAGCGCCCCTGTCGCGGCCCAGGTCCGATGACCAAAACTGGCGCTCGCGGCGGCGGCGGCGCGCTAGGCGAGGCCCGGCTGCCGCCCACGGGCGTCAGCCAGTTGCGGCCTTGCCAGGGCGCATAAGGCCGCCACGCACCGCACCAGCACGCGCAGCACACAGCATGTCAAAGAACATGCCGAGGCCTGCATGGCGTCCGCGCCATTGCCCCGCGTTCGGGGGGCCTCGATACCGGGCTATGTTGGCCCACTCCGCCGCCAACGAGCGGTAGAATCTACTGGGGCAATGGCTCCCAAGCCAGGGCAGCAACGCCTGCGCCCAGAACACCTGAATGCGCGGCAACTCCGGCCCACTAGTTTTTGTATGTAAAAACAAAAACAATACAAAAACTACCTAGCAGGCGCGGCCGTACCCCCCGGTCCGCCCTTGCAACTCATGCACTTGCTGGGCGTCTCAGGCGGAGCCTCTCCCCACTTCCCGCGGTTGTTAGCTGCACCCCCCCAGGAGTTGCAGGTCTCAGGCGATGCAATTCCCCATCGCCCTGGGGCTGGTAGCCTGGCGGGCCTGGTTGATCCTTGACGGCACTGGCGTGCGCACCCACCTTCGACTTCAACTGCTTCGAGGTTTGTCGAGCTCCTGGCAACTGTCCGCTGCCTCTTGGTCGGGCCCCCTCCCCCTTGCCCCCCCCAGGGCGCGAGGAATGTGAGGACCTCCGCACTTTGATCGCGCTGGCCTTGGCGGTGGCCTGATGGTTTGCGTCGCTGCAAGGACGCTCTACTCCCGCCGCCGTAGGTCGACTTTGTGGTCTCCTCGCCTCTCGCGACACCGCATCCGAGTGCATTGGTTCGGGCACGCTGAGAATTACGACAAGTACAGGCTGTTCGGCAAGGTGCGGTCGTCTACTATTTTGTCTGCGCCCGAGCTGCGGCTTAGCCCTCTTGTTTTCCGGCACTGTCTTTCTTTCTCTCTGCCTCGTTGCCGCTGCTGTTTCTTCGCCCTCGTTCGCCTCTTCGCTTCGTTCGCCCCTGTCTCTGCTTTGGGTAGCTTTCGCCACTTCTGTGGCCCTTTTCCGCGCATCGCTTGCGACAGTAGGGCTCGCGTTTCTCTTGCGACTTTCCTGACGGCGCGCGGTTGGACCGCGACGCCCGCGATCAAAAAGCACAGCCAACCCGCATAGCAAGGGAGGAGGAGGAGGAGGAGGAGGAGGAGGAGCTTCCCAAGGTTTCCCTGGCATCCTTCCCCTTCGGCCCATCCCTGGCCGCTTTCGCTGGCCTCGCCCCGCCCCGCAGGGTGTCGACATGGCCTTCCAAGGCCCTTCTGGGCCTCCTAGATGGGGTCGGAGTAGATGGGGTCGGAGGATTGCGCCGCATCGCCGATGCATCGCCGATGCGGCTCGATGTGCAGCCCGATTTGCCTGACGTCGACGTCGCCGATGCATCGCCGATGTATCGGCGATGCGGCGCGATCCTCCGACCCCATCTACTCCGACCAAATGTAGGAGCCCCCTGGCCCTTGCATCCTTACCGTGCGTCCTTCTCATACGGGTTGGCTGTAGTTGGCGCGTCGTGGAAGAGCCATCATTTCTCGCCGCATCCCTGTGTGCAGCCTCCGCTTTGAAGCCCCCCCTTCGTTTCTTCCATGTTTCCCCCCCCCCGGTGGTCGGCGGCCTCCGCTGTTCGGTCGGTTCCTTGGCTTCCTCCTCCCTCCTCTCCCCTGCTTGGTTCCTCGTTCGCCTTCGCCCCCTGCTCGCCGCCGCGGGCTCCTCCCTACGGAGACAAGAGCGGGGCCCGGGACGGAGGGGGAGGGGGGAGGAGGAGGAGGAGGCGGAGGAGAAGGAGGAGCAGCAGCAGCAGCAGGAGGAGGACGAGGAGGAGGGAGGAGGAGGAGGAGGAGGAGGAGCAGAGGAGGAGGAGGAGGAGGAGGAGGAGGAGGAGGAGATTCCCGCGAGATTCCCCTATGCCGCAGGCAGTCTCTCCCTCTCCGTCGCGGCTCCCCGCCGCGCGGCGCGCGCCGCGCACGGGGCCAACCGCTCTGGGGGGCCGCGCCCCTGAGGGCCGCCCACCTTTCCACGCGCGTCTTGCGGAGGCGCGTGGAGCAAGGTGGCCGAGCGCGTCGTTTGTGGCGTCCGCGCTCCACCCCCGAGCGCCCCTCGCGACATGCCTTCCGAGGAAGGTGGCAGTACCTGACCCATCCAGTCCAGCGCTGCCGTGCGCGTCGCGGTGGTGCTGGGCGGCGTGGTGCTGCTGGGCCTCGTTGTCATGCTGGTTTCGGTGGTGCTCAGTGGCGTGGTGCTGCTGTGCGTGTTGCTGCTGGTCGCCGTCGTGCTGCTTTTCGATCGGTCGGCTGGCGGCATGGAGGAGCCTGCGGACCCATTGCCTGCGGCGTTCCTCGTCGATGTTCGTTACAGTCGCTGCGGCTGTCGAGGGTCGTTGAGGTTGTTGCACACAGGCTTGCTGCTCGTCGTCGCGTTGGGGTCGTGGTGCTTCGTCGTGCTGGCATCGGTGCTGGAGTGGTGGCTGCTCGTTCTTCTTGTCCTGGTGGTGGTCGGGCTGCTGTGGGGCGGTCGGGGAGCGCGGGCGAGGGCGTTCAAATGCATCTTCTCGCTGACGTCCCCTGACTGCCCCTTCTGGTGGACGCAGGGAGTACTCGTCCTCCCCCTCCACACCGTTGCCGTAAACGGCTTGCGTCCTTTCTGGTGGTGTCTGTGGGGGTTCGATGGTCTGCGTCGCTGGTGGTTCGTGGCTGCCGTCGCTGGGCGTTGTGCTGGTTTGGTCGCTGTCGGGTGCTGGATCGCGTCGTCCTTGGCTGGTGGCGGTGCTGGTGTCGTCGTACCCGTCCTGGTCGTTGTCGGCGAGTTCCGTCCATTTCAGGAGCTTGTAGTGCAAGCTGCGGTATCCTGTGCGGCGTGTGCATTCCGAGCGCATCTTCCCCGAACCATACTCGGTAGTGGAGGCACCGCAGTGGCGGCATACCCAGCGGGATTCTGCTCGGATGAACATCAGTTGGTGGCTGTCGTGTGCAGTGCGTCCGTGCTGGGTGATGGCTTGTCCTTGTCGCGGTGGTGGTCCTGTGCACTGTTGCTGGAACCAATATCGTATTGCTGCAAAGCTGGTGTCTCGTCCGACGCGCTGAGTGCAGCAAGTGCACACCCAACCCTTTCCCCGTCGAGGCCTGGCCAGGTTGTGGGTGGTAGGTGGGCGTCTGCCAACTGGTTGTGGTGGCCCGTCGGCGAAATAATCTCGTCTTCGTCTGAGTTGCTTGCGGTACTCTTGCTGCTGTGCTCGTCGTGCGGCGCGCACGAGGAGGAGGAGGAGGAAGACGAGGACGAGGACGAGGACGAGGACGAGGAGGAGGAGGAGGAGGACGGAGGAGGAGGAGGAGGAGGAGGGTGGAGAGGAGGAGGGGGAGGAGGGGGAGGAGGAGGAGAGGAGGACGAGGACGAGGAGGAGGAGGAGGAGGAACGGAGGGGTTCGTTGTGTCGGTGCTCGGAGCCTCGAGGGTGGCAATGGACACCCTCCTCCCTGCAGTGGCCCGTTCGTCAGCCCTGGCCAACGGCCAGCGGTGCCGCGCCTCTGTTCCCTGGGGCAGGAGCGGAAGAGCTCCCTGCAGCGGGGAACTCGTTCGCCCGTGCTGCCTCCCTCCTCCTCCTCCTCCTCCTC